CCATTGATGATTAATACTATCATATGATTTAGAAATATCATAATATGTTTCTGCTTAATTAATATATAATATTATAGTTCAACAAAAAATAAGCCATTTAAACAAAAATATTTATTGCATTATAATAAGATAACATTTTAGTTGATAAATTAATAAATTTGAAGTTCAATGATATTTAAAAGAATAATTTGTATTTAGGTAATAATAAAAATAACTGAATTAGAAAAATGTCATACTAAACCAAACGATGGACAAGCGAAGCCCTTTCAGACTTTCTTTGTTTGTACTCAGTTTTCAATTGAGAGAGTTCATTTTCACGTTGGTGAAGTTCATCATTGAGAGCATCACGTCTTTCAGCCAACGAGTCATCCTTATCAACAATATTTTTCTTCTTATGAAGGAATTTAATTTCATTCTTCATATTCTTATACTCTAGCTTCTTGTCCAAATAGTCAATTTCCTTGATATGGTTCATCTCCTTTCTTTCTTGTTTAGTAGTCATACGTTCTCAATAAATTTTCTGAACAAAACCTTCTTTAAATACTTCTATACTCACTTTTCTTTTCACAATCTCAAGATTGAAATCCTTAGTTTTGTTTTATTCTTGAAATAATTACAAGTTCTATTTCAAATGAAGAGACTCTCAAACGAAATTTAGTGAATAAATAAAAAGGAAATCTGAAAAAAAATTTACTTGAGGTTGTAAATGATAAATACAAAACGAAAATACCGAAAAGATAAGAAAAAGCATATCACCGACCAAATGCAATTATTCGAACTTCTTCAATTGAGATGTGAAGAAATTACAAAAAATCTTCCAAAAGTTATTGACTCAATACTTCAAATTCAATCTCATTTACATTCTATTAGTAATACAACCCCCGTTGGAATTCACAAAAATTCGATGTTTCAACTAATCAATTCATCTGGATCATATCAAAGTTTGGTAGCAGATAAATTAAAAATTATTGTTTGTTAACTGTTGAGTGTGTGTAGTTATGTTGGGGTGTCAAGAAAATTAATTCATGTTATAGTCTTCTTGGTATGAAAAGTTATCAAAAGAACTCAACTCTAATTTATTAGTCGATGATCTTTCCTTTTCAAACAATGAAGAAATAAAAAAGATACAAGATGATAAAAAAATAAATATTTGTCATTACTCTGCTCTAACTTCATTCTGTAATAGAGTAGAACAACTTTTTCCTTCATTAGAAAATACCTCCGAATTTGAGAATACGGCAACCAGAGTTTGTACCTATTTTTTGATAATTTTTGTATTTACTTAAATTAACATTCAGTTGATCAAAGAATTCAAAGCGGATTGTGAATTAAATCAAATCTACACCTGTAAAAACTTAGAGGAAATTATCGAAGATGAACATCATCCTACAGAACAAATTCCTGTTGGTATAAACCGAATTATGACTGAATTGTATTATTCAAAAAATGATAAAAGCACATTATTCCGATTATCTTCTGACACAGAACAAGTCAATAAATACTATGAATCAATTCGGTCTTTAGACTATAAAAGTTTAGATAATACAACTTTGTCTTCATTATTAAAAAAGTTTATTCGAAGCCTTAAATCCCCTATTTGGCCTGAAGAATTTCTTCAGCCATTAGTTTCATGTATGGACTCCCAAAATAAAATGAGTCTTATTGCATCAATACATGATATGATAAACAAACTTCCTCCCTCTAACAAAGAATTTTTAAAGAAATTAGTTTTTTTATGCAACGAAGTTATTCACTCAAAAGATTCAAAAATGACTGCTCAATCAATTGCTGTTTGTTTAGCACCTGGACTAATGAGAAAGAATGATATGACATGTGCCTCAATAGCAGCAATTACCCCGACTTTAAATAATGCATTAGCATTAATAATTGAAAATCAATCAACATTCTTTGGCAAAGCATCGCCTTATACGGAAAATTTTACTGATATTTTTGGTGAATATTCCAACGTATTTGATGCAGGGGCATCAGATGAGACATTTGAAGATCTAACATTAAAAGTTGACCCTCGAACTCTTAGAGGAACCTTCAGAAAAAGAAAACCAACCCTATTACCCAATTCTACAAATACACTAGTAGCAATACAACCGATAAAAAGAAGTAATTCCGCAGACCCACTTGAATAAAATTTATACAATTATTTTAGTTTTATCTTTAATATGAATTTTTAAGAGATAACAGAAACTAAAAAACCATAAAAAAATTTTTATGAGCACCTAGAATTATAACTTACCATAGTCAATTTTATGTCTGTTATTGAACCAATAAAGAATTCCAAAGAGAACTCCAGTGAGAATAGCAAGTGCAATAATGAAATATCCAAGAATAACCCAGAATAATTTACTCAAGAAGAAAGCACTTGGAATGAAAATTGGAGTTTCTTTTTCAACAAAGGTCATTTTGAAATGAACAATACCTTCTGCGGTTGAATCTGCACCAACAAAAACAAGAATTTCATCTCCTTTTTCCATTTCTAATTTTGTGTGACTTCCTCTATGACCATATGGAGAATTATTATGATCAAATATGTCAATACATTCAGTTGGTCTATTAATACCTTCTGATACAATACATGATGGTGATGAGAATAGAGCAATAGTTGTTGTTACTTCAGAAAGGTCATCTGCTAAAAGATAGAAAGTACCATCATGTGGAGCAACAACACGGTACCATGTTCCCAAAGAACTTTTAGAAGTAGAATTACAAGTAATAACTGTTTGTGCAGCTTTAGTAATATAAGTGTAATGATCATATGGGAAGTTATTAATAAAAACAGGTTCTGAACATTTACTATTTATTGGTGGTTCATCGTAATAGAATGAAACTCTATAAGTACCATAATTGTTACTGGTTTCAGGGTCACTAATAACAGCAGTATAAAGAAGAGTTGTTTCTTCAAAACCATAAACACTAAGTCTAGCTTGTTCTCCACATTGAGGTGAATCGTCATCTTTATTTCCAAATACACACTCTCTTTCTTCAAATGTTTTTCCTGGTTTAAGTACTTCAAGAGCTGTATCAATATGTGTCTCTGGACCACAAGTATTAATAATAACAGTTTTATTTGGTGCTTGTAAATAAGTATACCATGCACCATTAACAGTAACTTTTTTATTATGATTTTTCAAATAACATGCAGAGACAAATGGTGCAACAGTATCAATATATCCTACATGTGTAAATGGAACCGTTGTAATTTTGTATGGATTAGAATATGAATCACCATCAATATAACCCTTCATTGTTGCCCAGAAATCAAATGAACCATAAGGATCAATATTTTTTTTGTTAGCCTTAACAGTAGCAAATAAAATCTTATAATTATGACTAAGTTTATGAGCAAATTGGAATGAGAATATCATGTTTGATGAAGTATCATCACAATAATACATGCTACAATCACTATGAAGTTCTATGTATGGATAATAATCATTTGGTACTTTAGGTGTTACGATAACATCAATATGTTGAACTTTTTCTGTTACAGAAAGGAATGCATACCATCCACCACGAGTATAATGTGTTCCTGAATCACATCCACTTGGAGAAAGTTCTAAGCTACTTGCATTAACACTAAGGTCTTCATAAGAATCTCCATCCTTAAACAATGAAACAATTTTTGGTTTAATACAAGCATTATTATTTGAAGCATCAGTTTTATCAACTTTTAATGTAATAGCACAATCTGAAATAGTACATGTTGCTCTAATATAATAAAGAACTCCTTCTTCTAATTCCATTTCAATATATGAATCATCTCCACAATTATAATATTGTTCAGCAAGACATTCTCCCATAGAACCAGTAGAACAGTATGGATATATTTCAATACCAGTAGCATACCCTGATCCAATTCCATTTGGATTACTATCACAAGTATCAATAATATATCTTCCTCCGTCTCCTACAATAGTGTACCACATTCCAACATATTTATTATCATTACACATTTGTTCTTCTGGAACAAAATTTAACATTGGTACAGTAATTTTAAATGGAAGAGAAGTAATTCCAATGGCTCCAGTACATCTATTATTTTCAGCAACACCAGTTCTTAAATTTAATCGATATTGTCCCTTTTCACCGTCTTTCATACTTAAAAGAATATAATATACTTTACCTTTAATAAAGTTAATATTAATTCTTGGATTAGATCCTCCACATGTATTATCATCATATCCTACACTACTAACATCACTACATGTTTGATCTGTTCCTTCAAATACATACAATTCTGGATCAAAATCAGCAGTATAATCTCCACATGTATCGATAAAAACAGATTGACTAGAAGTAGATACATATTTAAACCAAGTACCATAAAATGAATGTGTTCCAACTTGACCTGGAATAGTAACTGGCATACTTTTGTCGATATATCCATTAATTGTACCTGGGAATGAAACTGTTTTAGCATCAGCACAAGTTGGTTCATATGGATTTTCAAATTTTTTAACAGTTACTCTAAACACTCCAACATCTGAAGCAGTTGTTCCAGAAACAACAATATAATAAGTGGTTCCAGCTACAGCATTAAATACAAGTTGTGACTTTCCTCCTGCACAAACACCTATTTCTCCATCGTCGTCATTAGATGATGCACAGGTATGAGCTCTATTTGCCTCACATGTAGTAAGAACAGCAATTCTTGTATTATAATTAGTGTAAGTATTACAAGTACTAATTTCAATTGGCATATTTTGTTTTAAAGTAAACTTGTAGAACGCAGATCTTGGGAATAAATTTTCGTCAACTCCACATCCAAATCTGGGATTACAAACCCAACAAAAGTTTGTTTGTTTTGTAGTGTCCCCCTCAAATGAAGCAACTTTATTTTCATCTAAATCAGCTAAAGAAATTTCATGGGCTGTTTGACATGTATCATAAAGGGCATAACTAAATAAAAACAATGAAAACACTAAGAAAAGTTTAACCATTTCTTATCTGTATTTTTCAGTTTTTAGATGTTCAAAATTCTTATTCATTTGATATTTCTTCTTTGGTTCTGTTCTTTTTCAATTTCTTCATCCTCATCTTCTCATACTTATAGTTCCTTTTTCTTATTATTTTATTATTTCTTTTATTTTTGAAAAATCTTAATGATTTGATTTTTCTCTTTTCTCTTATAATAACTAAGAGTTATTATGTTTTATATAACGAAACAAAAATCAGTTAATTACTGTTGTCCGAGTGTTTCTTTGATTTG